GCCGGGCGCGGGCGGGGGCCCTCCCCCCCCGCCTCTCTCCGCAGCAGCGTTCGCTCCCCCCCCCTCGGCCACCCCTGCCCTCTTCTGGGAACTGTTTAGCTTAAACATTTGCTGTGCCTCTTCGAGCCCAGAGTTAACCTCCAGGGGAAATTAGCCCAGCCGGGTCTCCCCGGCAACCAGCCGGCGCCTTGCGCATCTCGCGCTTTTCAGGTGGTACAGCGGGCGCAAGGTGCCAGGCGGTGCAGAGCACTGTATATCCTTCTGGCTTTCCACCCACCAGCTTAACCTTTACTGGCAATGCCTCGCTTCCCTTTGACGTCCTCTCCTGACCCATCGCCCCCCCCGTCCGCCCCCCAAAACGGTGTCAATTAATCCAGGGCTGCACAACAGAAACCGTGAGGGGGGGGGCTGCAGAAAATGACGGCTTGCAGGGCGATGCTCAGGGGTCCTCCTGGCTGAAAGCAGGAGCTCTGAAGCCCTTGCATTTCAGCAGGCGCTGAAGAGTTATCCTGGAGTTGGTCTCGGCCTATGGCTTGACTACAACAGCATGGGCCTCCTGGGGCTGCCCTTGCCACATGTCCAGAGCAGTGTGAACTTAATGCCAGAGGCATGGATACTTTCTTGTTGCGGAGCTATGCCAGATGCTGGTTTTGACCCAAGCTTGTAGAAGTTTTTCTTTTTTTCTTTTTCTTTTTCTTTTCTTTTTCTTTTCTTTTCTTTCTTTTTCTTTTTTCTTTTTCTTTTTTTGGACAAAGAGAATTCTTGGGGTTGTCTTCCAAAACCACAGAGAACTTCTCCCCGTTCTGGATTTGGTGTCTGGGACCGTTGGCAGGATAGCTCAGTGGTTAAGGTCCTTGGCTGCAGAGCCTCCCCAGCTGGGAGGTCAGTCCCCCCCCCCCAACTGGGTCTCCTCTGAGCAGAGCTGGCTTGTGTGGCCTTGAGCAAGCCTCCTGGTGGTCCCAGGGCGCCCCCCCCCCGGGAGAAGGGAGGGTGATCCATTTTTGAGAATTCTTTACTTGGAAACCCCTAAAAAAGGGGGTCTCCATCCATCAGAATTGACCCTATGGGATATGGCAATTAATGATAAATTCACACATGACATGACAAATAAGAAGAGGCCTACTAAAAAAATAATGATTTAAAGAAAATATGGAGTGTATTCTTAGAACATGTATTTCGGAGAGGGAAGGGGTACACCAAGGGAAGAAGGAATGAAATTTTGGAGAGAAAATGGACTGAATGAAATTTAAAATATTATTAATGCTAGCCCTGAGGGTGATGGTGGCCCTGGTGTATTATGTAATCGTGTTTTATTGTGGTGTTAGGGTTTATGTTGTTTAGGTTGGAGGGTTGTTTAATTAAGAAAAAGGGGGGGGTCACCATCCATCAGAATTGACTTGATGTCACTTCATGATGAGGAGGATGCTTGGAAGGATAGTGGCGAAACAAGGTAGCCTCCCTGCAGATTTTATTCCCTCTTCCCCCTCCCCCCCACCTGCCACCTCTATGATCTCATAGAGTACAGTCCCCATCATCCCTAGCTAATGTGACACCAGATGATTGGGGATAATGGAGGTTGTAGTTCACCAGACGTGGGGGACTGTGCTGCACAAATGGGGAATCAGATTTAACTCAGGGAAGGAGGGATCCCGGTGTCAGCGCTGATGTTGCTTCCAGATCATGGCACTGAACATGTAGGGGAGGGTCAGTCTGCCCCTACCCCTCCCCTCCCCTCCCCTGTCATCAGACTCATTGATCATCAGCACAGCGCCACCCCCACCCCCCCAGAATCCGGCTGCTGCCAGTCACCCCCGAAGGCAGGGAGAAGCGGTGAACGGAGGTTCCTGATGTTAGGAACTCATCCGGTGAGGAAGCTCCCTGGGGCGCGGCTGGGAGCGTGTCCCGAATCACTTGTCCCCTTGTGGCCTCCTTGGTTTCTGCCGCAGCCCCTCACAGAGCCCTCAGCAGGCAGGTCTCTGCCCCAAGGGGTCTACAGCCCAAAACAGGAGCCGTGGGTGGCTGGGTGGTCAGGGCTGTTATTTCACGTCTTTGGGCCGGGAGGGTTTGGGAAGGGGGAGGGAATTAGGGCAGGGGTGGCGGCCTCCCTTTCTGGAACGTCCCTCAGGGCCACGGATGCTTCTGACCCCGTGACGCCCCACGACCCTCAATCAGGCTCCCCCCCCCATTCCTGGGAGCGAAAAGGGGGCTTGCCTGGCCTTTCCCTTCTCCCAAAGGGTTCCTTTCTCTCCTTTCTCTGGCAGGGAAAGAGGCCGCCTCGGAGGGGAGCCCCGGCCCCGCGGCCCCCAACCCGGCCTTCAAAGAGGTCTGGCAGGTCAGCCTCCGCCCCCGAGGCTTGGGCCACTCCAGGAACCTGGCGGGGACCTACCTGCTCTGCCTGGCGGAGAAGACCATCAGCTTCGTCAAGCTCAACTCGGCCGTGGTGGCCGTGGTCCTGCAGCTGCTCAACGTCCGCCGGTGCGGCCACTCGGAGAACTACTTCTTCATGGAGGTGGGCCGCTCGGCCGTGACGGGGCCCGGGGAGCTGTGGATGCAGGTGGAGGACCTGGTGGTGGCCCAGAACATGCACGAGACCATCCTGGAGGCCATGAGGGCCCTGAGCGAGGACGTCCGCCTGCGCAGCAAGAGCCAGTCCCTGGCCTCCACCCCCATCGCGGTCCCCTCCCATCGGCAGAGCCTCAGCCCCCCGCCCGCTGGCCGGGGGTCTTTCTCCTGGAGGCCCCCCCTGGAGGGAACCCCCTCTCTAAGCCGGAGACCCGCCGGCCTGGGCCAGAAGGCGCCAGGGGCCAGGAAGCCCGACTCCTTGAGCGACTACAGCGCCATCTCGTCGGACGAAGGGGGTTCCAGCCCGGGGGAATCGCGGCTTGCCGGCACGCCTGACCCGTTGAATTACACGGTGGAGGAAGTCGAGCTGGACTACATTGCCATGGGCAAGCTGGCTTCCCCCGAAGGGCACCCCCTGACGTGGGGGTCGGCCGCAGGCACAAACAAGCGGGCTTCTCTGCCCCCCCTGGCGCTCGGAAAGGACACGCTCCCTCTGCCCTGCAGCCGGAAGCAGGGCCTCAAGTCGGTGGCCGTTTCTGCAAGTTATCCCGAAGGCCTGAACCTTCGCCGCGTAGCCGATCCTGGCTACATGGCCATGCTGCCCGGCGTGGTGGCCACGGGCGCGGAGGATCAGGACTATGTGCCCATGACCCCTGGCAGCGTCTCGCCTCCCCGGGGGAATGGGGGCTACATGGTGATGTCCCCCACCGGGAGCGGCTCTCTGGAGGGGCCAGGCCCGTGGAGAACGGCCGGCGGGGAGACCAGGTCGCTGGGGGACGATTATATGAACATGTCCCCCGTCAGCCAGTCGGCCTCCAGCAGCCCCCCCGAGTACGGCTCCGCGCTGCTGGCCCTCCCGAGAAATGGCCTCTTCTACTCGCTTCCCCGTTCCTACAGACACGACCCCAGGCCACTGGCCTTGCCTTTCAACGCCGGCCGCCTCTCCTGCTCCTCTTCCACCAGCTCGGAGAGCTTGGAGGAGCCCCCCGGCGCTCCCGCCCGCCCGCGCCGTCGTCTGTTCCTGGGCTTCCCCAGAGACGGCCAAGGGGACCCCCCTTTTGCCCCCCAAAGCAGCCCCGGAGAGTACGTCAGCATCGACTACCGCGCCAGGGCCACCGACTACGTCAACATGGAGCTCGGTGCCGCGCCGGCAGAATCCAGCGGGACGGCGGTGCCCGAGAGCTATGCCGAGATGGTGCCCGGTGCCCGACGAGGACGAGGGTGCCCATCAGGGAGGCACCACCCTTCCTCGGAGACGTTCGCCGAGGGGGAGAGGAGCGGGGGGGCTCTGCCGTGCGAGACCCAGGCGGAATCGGGTCTGAACTACATCGACCTCGATCTGGGGAAGGAGGCCACCCCAGAGACGGCCTCGGCCTCCCACCTGGCGGGCCAGGCGGGCAGGCTCCACACCTACGCCAGCATAGACTTCGATCGCTCCGGAGAGCTCTGGGGATACAGGGCAAGCTCCGAGGGAGAAGGTAAGGGGCTGCCTGAAGCCCTGGGAGGCTGTGGGGGGCAAGGGCGCTGCGCCTTTCCTGCAAGGGGTGGTCTGGTAGTCCAGATAGGTGGGGTATAAATCAAATAAATAAATAAATAAGGGGGCCTCTGCAGACGGGTTGGGCTGCCACGCCACCCTGTTTCCCCTGGCCCCACCCATGCCCCCAGGCTCCTCGTGCCCTCCACCCACCCGTCTGCATTCTTTGGGCCCGGGCTGTTCCCGTTCCCTCTTAGGGGGCCAGGGTTT